CCTATAGAAATAAAAAGAATATAGAGAGTTTTTATAGCTAAGAGTCTTAGCTATAAGCTTTCCTCTTCTAAATAAATAAGTAGTATATACTATATACTTCTCTATAGAAAATAGAATAGTAATTAAATTTATCTATCTATCTATATATCTATTCTCTATCTTATCTAATCGTATACTACTCTCTATAACTCTCTTTTTACTTAGTAATAAGAAGAAGAGAGTCTCTTAGTATTCCTAATAATATATAATAATACGTAACTTCGTAATAAGTAGATAATTACTATAGAGAAAACTCTAGAAGCGAGTACTCGGGCGTATTAGCTACGCCGATAATAAGCGCGTTGCGCTTTCAAGTACGACAGTCCTAGTATATTTTACGTATCTTATATCCCTAGAGTTGAAAACTATATAGTCTCGCGGAAGTCTCGTGCCCGGTCCCCAGTGCGAAATACGCGCTTATCAATCGGAGTTAATGGTCTCGATATGCTCTTCTCTACTAGAGCACGTAGCGCCCATGGATCGTGGCATTGGTGCAACGATGCCTCTCCGTTTACCACGGGTCTTTCAACACCATCGAAAACCAGATTACCAACAATGGGCTCTAGTGTGTCATCTGCGTTGCAAGTGATTGCATGAGCAAGATACGCCAAGCAGTGAGCCCAGTGGTGGTCGTGCCCGCCATGTTGTTGCTTGTCGTCGTGGCGTAAAGTCGTTTCCCGGTGCTGCGAGCCTTGCGCAAGCTCATCTCGAATCATGTGTAGACAGTGTAGCTGGTGGAACATCGTAACACCGAAGTAGGTTGGCACGCCATTCTGCTCGACAAGAAGGAACTGCTCTTCTGGTAGGCTGATTTCCTCTAAGGCAGTTCGATGCGCAGCGTGATCAAGGGCGCTAATGTTTGAGGTAAAGGCTGAAAGATGGCCAGTCACATCCTCAAATTCTGGTATCGATTTGAACTCCTTGTACAGTGCGCGGTGATTTTGGCATGGTCCTGCGGGCTTGACTTTGCCGCACGTCGCAGATAAAGCTTTTTGACTCAACAAGCCAATTCGATTATATAGCAAGAACATCGTGGCAAATATGGCTGTAACAGTCGCGATACCAATGACGCTTCGCTTGCTTGGTTGAAATCTTGAAGTCATGATGTGTGTATGCTTTAGCATGTCGAGACAGGCTTGCGGCGCAGAAAAAGACTCTGTTCCCATGGACAGGATGTGACAGAGGGAATCGGAACTTGCGCCTCGTTTATTCTGCATGCTCAATGACAGTACGGATAAAAGAATCTTCCCGTAGCTTCCTATTACTTCTTTGCATGGAGTTCCCCGGCAAGACTGGATTTACTAGGCCTGTAAATCCCCGCTGAAAGGCAAGCAAAAGCGAATAATGCACTCGGTCTAGCTATGTAGCCGAACCACAGGATGGGCTCGCAAAGATGCAGCGCAGGGCTTGGAGCTTGTAGCGCACTCTCTCCCCAGCCGAGTTCTCCCGTCTCCCCAGTGCTCGCGCAGACAAAAGGCTAATCGGTGGAACCACTCGAAGCACGAACTGGCCGACAGATTATCGTCATTTGCCCCCTCGGCTTGTGCTTCTAAGTTCCATTTCCATGAGACCTGTACCTCGAGCTCCCCCAGGGCACAGAGATTATGTCCATGGTGTCATAGAAGTTGAGCCGGCACGCATTGCAACATGTGACTCTTCCACGGGTGACTCGTTGTTCGATCGTATAACAGGTGCTCTCAAGTGAAGCATCATTATCGTAGCCGCGGAATAAAGGCCATCAACATTGCTACCAATGGACCTCGGAAGCGTTGTAGAACTCCTCGGGGTGGCGCAGACTTTGCGCCCATTTTCCAGTCAAACGTGTGTCCCAGATATCAAAGCTACGCTCCATCACCCACTTATACATTCGCTCCCAGTCCACGCATACGTGCTGACCTCCCATGAGGCTTCGCGGGCCATTATCGTCCCATTCGTACCCCGACAATGACATGTCTCCTTGACACAACACTGATTGTCGAAGACTGCAGGAATATCTCCACGTTAGCAGATTCTCGCTCAGTATCGGAATTTTGAACAAAGGACTCACTTTTCGAGACAGTGGTCGAAATGCCGGCTCATTTCACCTGTTTCCTGAGGTTTCATGACCTCCCACGATTGCGGGTATCTTTCTGGATATTGTGCCTCGCGAATTGTTTTCTGACCGACAGTTAGTCACCATTGAAGCAAGTCTGGGCCAGTGGATCGATAAGTACCAAGCAATGAAGCTGATGAAACAAAAAAGGTGTGGCCCACACGTCTCCGGTCCCATCAAGTAGCTCGAAAGAGCTAAAATTTGAAGCAGCTGCTGCGCTGGATGGCACTCGTATGTTCATACCTTGTATCGCCATCAATCAGCAATCAATGTTTGTGTCTGGAGCGCAATTGACCCAAGCATAGCTGAACATCAAGCCGCTCTTACCACGTATCAGAGCGCGCCACGCCGCTTCGTGCTCAGGTCGGGGTGGACCTTTGAACAACGCATTCTCCTTTTGTCGAACTTCGAAATTGTCGTCAAGGGTCTTGATCACATAGCGCGTGCTATCTGCTGTGATATCTATGCAACTCATCAGCTACGAACAACATCGCGCCAAGTAGGATCTGTTGTTCTGCTGCTTACAATGTGTCGACATTGTGGGAAAAGCAGTCTGTTTGCCATGCCGGTAGCCAGCATAGTAAGTGAGTGATAGTAAGCATGTCGCGAAGAGAATACTGGTCAGTATCTTTGAATCCAGCAACACCTCTGGCCGACGATCCCGTTGCTTGCACTGGAAGTCTTTGCCTAGCAAGTGCCTGCTTTGGTCGCTAAAGTCTGCATCTTGCCTCGGCATAGTTTCAACGCTTTCGAGCACTGTGAAGCAATGAGAGACCAATTGAGCTCAACGATGGCCAAACAACGAGTTGATATCAAGTTGGCGATGGGCGCGGGGACAGAACCAAAACATCCAGGAAGCACATCTAGTCGACGAACCCGATCGAGACCCATGATAGACCCGGCAAGGTCATCCATCGAAGCCCAACGTGGACACACGGTATCCTGAGGGATAGAAAATTCTCGTGCTGATATCGCGGTTGAACCCAAAAGCGGCGAGTGCAGCTTCCTCATAAGTCGCCCATGCGAAACTCACACGACTCTGACTGCATATATGAACATGGTACCCATTCATGAGTGAAGAATCTGCCCTAAGTTATAGTGGTGTGTGGAGAATCTTGCTAACCCATGTCTTGTGACTCGCCTGCATTGAGTCACTACCTTGTCTACCACTTTGTGTATAGAAAGGTGGAATCAATCACGCAAAATGGCTAGCCAAGGGGTATCAGCGCTAGCAGGAGTTGCCCAAATTCTTCACACCTGCTGTACCATTTGTAGCATTTGTACTACAGTGGGTGTGAAGGATGATAGATATCCCTGTTAGCGTCGTGCAGACAGGCTGGGTAAAGAATCATACGAACCCCTGCCAGCGCTTTGCATACAAACTTCGTCCGTGCCTGTGTTGCACAGACGTATTTTGTTCGCAAAGCGCTAGCAGGGGTTCGTACTGTATGATTCTTCACCCAGCCTGTACAAGGAACGTCCATGCGGAGTTGACATCGACGATGTCTGTGCGCAAGACGCTAGCAGTGGCATGCACTTATCAATTTTCACACCGTCTGTGCTGTACGTTCACACTGGTTTCCTGTTCACCGTATGCATGATAGGGTTTGTAGAGCTACCCCTAGCTGTGGCGAGAGGGATGAACCGTGAGACCCCCCCCGACTCCCAGTGAAAACTTCTGAACGATGAGCGGGATGGCTCGATTGAGGAGCGAGGAGTCTATAAAAACGAGACTGAACTGTGCGTTGCTTGACACTCTCCTTCCATCAGCAGATTGAACAACTTCCAAATTTCTCAAATACCTCTTCAAGCCAACATGAAACACGCTGCATTGGCGCTCGTTGCTATGTTCGCCGTCACGGTGCACTGTCTTCCCGTGGAAGGCACTGCGTCAAAGATAGGTATGTATAACATGGTTGACGCTCACATGTTCCGCTACTGGCCATTTTGCCTGAAAGCTGATTTAATCATTCTGAATAGATATGATCCAAGAGAAGAATGAAGCGAAGAGGGCAGAGGCCACTAAGCATAATGAGGATGAGGAGGAAGAACATGATCAAGCCGCATTGAAAGTCACGCCGTTCTATTGGGACTTCGAGTACAAGCGTCCGAACGAAGATTGATGCGTTCGATGCGTGAGATCGGGCAAGCTCTAGAGCTATGAGGGAGAAGTACGTCGACTAGGGGAGGCACTGGCCAGATAAAAGCATGTGCTTCTGTGAAAGCACTTCTGCCATACGCTTTACCAATTTTAAGCTGCTAGATCTCGACTATTGATTCCAATCGCGTGATTTCGCGGCGATGTCGTATGCTGAGTGAGCACTGTGATCGACTATAACGAACTGTGAACGGGAATCCTCCCACGGCGAAGTCAGGCAGAACGGCTAGCAGCGTAGACCTCACTGTAAGACATGTCCGTCGCCATTGCTGTTTAAAACGTTACATACGCGCCTCGTGACCAAGAAATGTATGTTAAGTCCGGCGGCCTGTCTGGTCAACCCCAACACAACCCTGCCCTGTTACTGCCCGTTAGCTCAACCCCATCTACCGGGACAACAAATGAGGCATTAGGGCTAGTCTTTGAGAGTCAGCGTTCCTAACTAAAAGCTTGTAGCTACCCGTAGAAAGTGACATTCATTTTCTCTTAACCATAAACGACTTGCTCTGCTATGGCTGTTTTTGCGAACAGAAATTGCGCATACGCCGCCTTGGATGCCGAGCCGGACACGAATCCATGCTCTAGATGCTGCTCTAAGTCGTCTAGATGCTATCAAGGGCCTCTGCCATGGAACAATATCGTGTGGGGAATTATTGTTGTTGTTACAAACATTCTTACCCTTCTCTTCTCGACTGATTGGCTGCATGCGTGCGCTCGGACTGGGAAATTCGAGATGAGGGATCAAACACAAGGTAAAGAGTAAGGCCGGAAGCTCTGCAAGATTATGCTAATTGTCAAAAGCGCCTTTCATGTCCGACATGGACATGGCGATCTACACCCTGACGTTCAACGATCTCGACTATAAGGTGACCCGATATACAGATAAGCCAGACTACGTCGGCACCCAGGTCGATCGTAACTGGCATGATCTAGGAGTCAACGGTAAGACTTCTCTTTTTGTCTGGTGGCACAAGTGGGAAACGCTTAACGAATACTGAAGGCCCGCCGATTGTCGTACCTACCGCGGAAACTCAGTATTTTGATATCGAGCCCCATCATGCACGGGTTGATCCTAGCCAATCATCTGCAATTCCATACGAGGGAGTTGCTGGAATGATACAGGCGCAACATCGACTTCATTGTCTGAATATGCTTCGACAAGGCTTGTGGTATAATTGGGAATACTATCGCCGGATCCAGCACCCTGACTGGAGTTCCAAGCAGGAGGTTATGCTAGGCAATTACTCACTGATGGAGTTGCACACCGCGCACTGCGTTGACCAGCTTAGGCAATCGATCATGTGTGAGTCAGATCTGGCCATCATCCCTTACATGCGTGACGAAAATGGGGAGGGTAAGATGGACTTCAGCAGACGGAAACGGTGCAGGAACTACGATTCACTGCTGCACTGGCATCGGAATCACAGCATTGGGGCTGAGCTGGAGAAGGCCAACGGGAGTGTGCCATACTATAGCTGGACGGGTAGAGAGTAGACGAAATGCCAGCTTATTGCGTGTATCATAGCAAGAGGTTTCGTTAGATGTTGACGCTCGCTCGGCGCACCAGTGATCCCGAGCATCAACATTCGCAGATCGTCGCAATCTGTTCGAAGGATCGTGCATACAGCAAGCCTGAGAGACATCTTATCAATGAGTGCTCTACGTGCTCACATATATCCATTGCACCTGACAGGACAAAGCCATGTTGCTTTCATCCCCTCCCCTAGCTAACGCCAACGTGATCATTCCCCTCGCTCCACGAATCGCCGATGGAACACCTCACTTTACACTACGATTAGCCAAAACCTGCAGGAGTATTAGGTAAGTGACGAGGAGAGTGCGTTGACGGCAATCCTCTACGCCCCGTGGGGGCTGTTCGAATTATGCGATCTCGACAAGTAGCTACCGCCACCGCCAGCCCTTGGGCCTACGCTATGTTCCGGCCTCGCCGTACCGCAGATCGTGAAGACCCCATTATAGACATCCCCGACTATAGTATATCTAACAAATAGTCCTATGCCTTATTCGTTCTAACCTTGCGTCCTTCTCTATATAGTTCCTACGTCTAATATATAGCCTAGTATAGTATATATCCTAGATATCTCGCTCGACTCCTAATAGGCTTTATTACTCCCTATCTCTATAATAACTATAAGGCGCCCTATCTAGCTTCGTTTTATTATAATAATACCTATATACTATTAGTAAATATATTATAATTCTAAAATAGATTATTTATAGAAAGAATAAGTATAACGATAGAAGAACTACTAGATAGAAGAGGCCTCGAGGCCTCTTACTATACTACTATCTACTCCTAGTAGTAGCTAAATATTAATAAGAGTAGAGAATATCGAATTATAGAGTTAGTAGGTCGGATCGTAAGGTATATAGTATAATAGAAGTAGAGGCGATAGATAGGAACTAACCGAGTTAATTATATTAGTTAGTTATAGGTTATATTCTACT